TTGTGAATCGGTAAACCTACTTGTGAACTTCACTGTCACCTCTCCTCTTAGTCATTTGCCACGTCAGCCCATTATTGGGTTCAAAACCAGGTTGAGAAATCTCTAGACCATGTTTCATTACCAGCTGAATATACCTGGCATGTGAAGAAATTGTCATATCAGTAAACGAGTACAAGTCCACTAATACTAAAAAAAAGACCTATAAGTATTACAGAACTGCAGAAAATGATTCTTACTTATCAGCGTTGAAGTGTTCAACTCCAAGATCTTCATCCCAAATGAAAATGTAATCATAAGCAGCTACAACATCCGGAAGAAGGAATCTCTTTGCATACCACCTACAAATGTAGACAATGTGAGAGAAGTCATCGGAAGTGGAAACAATCCAATGAAATTTATAAGCATAGTATTGTAAATTCATCAACAGCAAGGTGTTGAGTATCTAAAAATCCAATGCAATACACTCAAATATCATTTTTTTCACCTCGAGAAATTCTTACAAATTGTCCCAATGGAATTTGTTTTGTGCGCCGATACTTTACTATTGTTTTGATACAAAGAAGGGTGCTAAAAAATTGTTATTGGCTTATGATGTACCTCACCCCTATCAATCACTCTTCATTTAGATAATGCTTCGGAGTGAATGAAATTAAAATGCAGGTTTTTTTATTCGAGTTTTGGGAGTTCAATTTCGTAATTTTTGGATACCTGAAGATATACCTTCCTTGATTAGTTATTTAAGTTTACAGGTACAATAGAATCCTCTAGCAACTTCAGGCATAGAAAACCTGAGGAATATTACCACTTTGTTTGCTTTCTGGCACTAACATGTATGGCTCGACGTGACCACTCAAATTGCTCCCATTCACTGGTTCGGCCATCGTAGTGAAAAGGTAATATTTGAAAATCCTCAGAAAACTACAACAATATATCGAAGTTAGTTTTCATGTGATGGAACTCTAATAAATGCTATCTATTTTAGATTTTATTATCTGAAAAAAAACTAAACTGGCTTAACCTTCTTCACGGCTGCATCAATGTTGTTCTTTTGATTCGAACCAACTGTAAAGGTTACTAGGTACTTCGGCTTCCTTTTCAGATCCTAAAAGTTCCAGTGTGTAGTTGTAAGGACAACCCCGATGCTATGAAATCTTATTATATAATACATGTAAATCTTTTGAGGTCACGTAAAATTGTTAAGACTCCTATTGGCAATTGCTATGGCAGGTAATGAATAAACCCAATCATAAGACTGAAAGACAACAGATCAAGATTCAAGCAAAAGGATAATGAGTGGAACAGTCATTTCTAACTTACCAAATTTCACATTCCAAGAGTTCGAAAAGGTCATATCTAAACATTATCAAAGTACTAAGAGAGATAAATAATTAAGCATATCCACTTTCTTCAAATTTTACCTCACTAGGCTCACCCCATAATCTTCTCAGATACAAATCCGATTCTGGGACAATAATTCCTGGTGGCAAAGACTCTGCTCCACGGGGATTTATAGGAACATACACCTGAAACCCAAAAATCCAAAAATAAAAATAAAATGTAAACACGAATTAATTTATCTTAAACAGACATCAAAAGTCAAAAAAACCAAACAAAGCACAGTAAAGAAAGTAGTAACCACAGATCCAGGCCAAATCAATAAGCAAAAGACTGGATCAAGAAAGAAATAAGACGCCTGCTAAGTTTCCACAAACAAGACAAGCAAAAGGTAAACAATTTCGTCGAAGATATTTCTGGAGTTCACAAGATTGAGTTCGTAAATATAAATGTACCACTAGTCATGGACAATAATCACTGCTTGTAAAATGACAGAAAACTTCAAAGTTTCAACGAAAGTGACAAAGACACCAAAGGAATATGTATGAGCAAAAAGAGTACCTTAGGTGTTAAAGGAGTGGTACCAGAAGTGAGATTATCAGGAACATTACGACTAGAAGAACTATGAGGATCATCATTAAAGGCTACATCTAGAGGTTTCACCAAATTTGAAGGTAGATTAATCTGCCAGAAGAAGAAAAATAAAAGACAAATGTAATGAACCTAATTGGTGACAAAATCCTCGATTAGAAAGTAATGTGACACTACGGATCATACCTTATTTAAGGAAACGTATGGAAATGAAACACCTATAAAATATCCCAACACCATGCCGATGATGGTCGTTAGAAGGAGTCGAGCAGTGTCATTTGACTTCTTACAAACCCCACTGCATACAGAAGCAAGAAACGAAAAAACCAAATAAGCACACCATTTGCCAGAGACATGAATTTATTTTATTTTGTAAATCAACATCAGCTGCTCTACAAACCTCCGATGCAAGGTTCTCATTGTGACGGAAAAAGTTGCTCAACTCTAGGCAAAAACCAAATATCACGAGCACTTCTAGGAAGATATGCTATACCTTCCACTTGTAACAAATCTGAGTTGGCACCCAACCAAATAGGACTCCTATAAAAGCATACAGCAATGAAACTTTTGCTGCACAAAGACTCGTTCAAAACTTAAGACCTCGCATATAATTTCGTCACCCACTAGATCTCTTTTTGATGAATTTTCTATAAACAAAGCAAACACCTTATCACCGATAATTCCAATTCCCCAGTTCACAACTCATTAAAAAGGCTTTTGTGGACACCAAAAAGTCGGAAATCAAGTAAGTTCAAGTTACATTTCCAGCATTTTGCAATATCCGATTGATACACCGTTTCTTAAAACCTTATCGCCGACACATAACTCCCCGAGAACACGGCATACTTGTGCTTAAAACTGAGAGAACTGTAGTTTTTCCATCTCGTCTAAAAAATTCAAGTGAACAGTGACTGGGAAGTACATAATAAAATCTTAAACACAGGATAGCATTAGGAAAAACAGAAAATTCAACTAAAATGTTCCAATTGAGCCTAATATTATTGATTAACACACTGAATTTTCATAACACCAAAGAAACCTCTCAATTTTATCTTCATCCGTGAAAAGATCGATCACCAGAAGCTCCAACTACACGAAGAGAGAGAGCTGAAAATAACCGACACATAATTTGATAAAATCAAAACATCAAATTCGAAACCACGACGCAAGAACTAGTTAACTAGGGTTTGAGGGGCTTACGAAAATCGCAGCCGATTGCTTGAGAGTAAGAGATCGGTGTGAATGTTTGCTAACTGCTAAGTGTTCTTTTTTGCTGGTGGGAGTGATGAAACCGACAAACATTTAAATGCAATTACTGGCTGTTTAATAAGAAATTGGCAAATTCCATATAACTCCCTCATACTCTTACTCAATCTCACTTTTACCCCTTGTATTGTTTATTGTATCACTATACCCCCTTTCTACTACTAATATATTATCAATCAACCCTTTGTATACACACGTGGCACATAAATTATATTCGAGCTTATGAGATTCTACACTTGGTGAAATACATCATGATCATGTTGTTTTAAACTGTAGATCGACATAATTAATTATACACACATACACTTGGGGTACGTGTGTTATTATGTGTAGATCAATCATATAAAACTAGATGATGTATTTCACCAGGTATAAGTTCTACAAAACCTCGAAATCCGAGTAGAGGTATCATTTTTCATGAGAGAATTCCAATTGAATTGCAGAGTGGCCATTCTAAACTCCACTTATTCTTTTACGTCCTCATGCAATTTTCTTTTTACATTTTCAGACAACCAAAAAAAAAAAAAAAAAAGCGGGAAAATCTACCAATTTAAATTCGAAAATCAAATTCATCAAAACGCCGCACAATGCGAAGGCAGCCCGGTTTCATGATCCACCGCCACAATCTCCGTCGCGTTATTACACGGAAGCACATCCTGCCCCAGCTTCGCTCCGGCGGATTTCAACCCCTTCAGCGACAACGCCTGATTGAACAAATTCAACGACGGCAGCTTCGACGCCGGCGGCAATTTCCCGTTCGGCAAGAAATCCCTAAAATCCCTCTTCAACAACGGCACCTCAAAATCGGTCTTATCGTGCTTCACAACATTATCCTTCGCGCTAATGTGCGCACCCGGCTCCATATGATTGGTCGAGAAGCTAGCCTGCTCCGGAAAATTCGGGTACAGGCTAACGTACCCCCTCAGATACATCATATCAATCAGAAACTTCTTCCACGAAGCTTGCCACCCGTTGGTTCTTGATTTCGGAATCTGAACCGGGTTCTGCTTCGCATCCTCCGTAAACCGCATATTCATGTACACGTAGAACTCCCTCCAATGCTTGGGGAAGAACACCGCGCCCCAACTGCACGGCAGCTGGTGTAGATAAGGCGTGTTTGGATGTATCTGTTTAAAATACTCCGTCGCGTTCCATTTCGGCCTCTCCTTCACCACTTCAACCAAACGCGGCGTGTATAGAGATATCGACGAGAGCTCGGGTAACGAAACCTGAGAGTGAACTGGGGAATCAGTAACTATCCTTATTTAAAAAAAAAAATTAAAAAAAATAATAATAAACCTGAGGGTCGTAGTGGTAGGCTAAGAGGACGTATTTGACCCATAAGTAGTAGTACGGGGAGACTTCGATATCGTCCTCGAGTAGTAGGCCGAAATCGTCGTCCGTGGAAGGGTACCAGCTTTCGCTGACGGCCCGAATAAGCCCGCCTTGGATGATCCGTCTGCGGAGGACTTTTGGGCCGTGGGGCCACTCGAACGAGTTCACGAGCTTTAGAGTGGCCTCGTCCACTTTGCTGTCCATGTTGAATATGATCGGAACCTCGTCGCCTAGATAGTAGGCGTCGCTCAGGGATTTTAGCAGCCTCCTGAGGGACGAGGCCCGATTCTGCGTGATGATGCTCACCGAAAGCCTCATTTTGTTCCAATCTGTGTATATTGACGATCGACTATCGGTTAGAGAAATTGATGCGGGACATGAAATTAAATTGGAATTTGACACTTCCTTGATGCATCAAAAATATTCAAAATTTCAAAACAAAAGGTGATTTGATCTTACTAGGCAACGCTGTGGGTCGAAGATCGGCCATCCACAGAGCCTTCGGGACACTGGCTTTCGGCAAAAGCACCAACGCCGAAGCGTTCGAGTTCGTTTCCGAGGCCATTCTCAAAGCCTTCTTCACGTGTCCGTCGATATCGGAAACCGCCACCACGATGCTCGGGTTGTGGATCTTGATCAACCCTCTCATGCTAGCGTACACCGCCTGCAAAACGGGCACCTCCGATTTCGACTTCTCCGACAGCAAACCGATCCCGAGGTCGAAAATCTTGAACCTTCTCTCCCTGCACACCGCTTTAGGCCACTTCAAAGCCCTCACCGCATCTTCGCATGGACAAAATTTACCCCCCGAAACGACAACGTACGCTTTCTTGCCCGGAGTTGTTCTGATCTTTTCTATAAGAGGAGCGAGGGCCGTAATTTCTTCGACGGAATGTGCGTAGAAAAGGGCGTCGATTTTTTGAGGATACATCGCCGCCCACTGCGTAATGTAGCCGTTGGAGAGCGCCCTCCACCACTGATCATCTCTCACTTGGACAATGTCTTTAAAGATCACGGTCGTTTCGGAAACGTAAGCAAGCCTATGCTCACTGTCGCCCCACGTCTCTTTGTCGGTGGGGTCCACCGGCAACACGAAAGAACCGGCGTCTCTGTACTTTTGAAGCTGATAGCTGCATCATTTTGCATATTTTTGGAGAAATCAATAACACATTTTACATGAAAAAAGAACATATTAAAATATTTTTTTAATGTTGTAATTTGGGGTATGTTTAGGGATTCGGTATAAAGTTGTCATATTTCAATTTTACATGCAATAATTACAAAAAAAAAAAAAAATATAGCATTTTTTGTTCTATTTCACTCAAACTGTGAATTTTACCTGTTGATTGATGATTTAGCTAATAAACTTGTCAAAATTTATTTATATGGAAGCTCAAACATTATTAACGGTCCTCTAACTTGGTTTATAAATTCGGCATCTCGCATAATTAAATTTCTATCACGGATAAGTTAGATGTCGAATTTATAATTTCTATAAGTATCCATATAAGTAAAATCCCTCAAATTTACTAGTCTCCTCATTAGGGAAAAAAAAAATCATACAAAATAGGAAAAAAAAAACTATATTTGTAAAGCTATTGCATGTAAATGTAAACACGACAATGTTAGAGGACTAAATCCAAAATAGGCCAACATAGACTGTCAAAATTCCTATTAAAAGAAAATTAATTTTATTTTTAAGGGAAAATTAAATAATACCTTAAATGCAAGTCTTCGCCGGTCATGAAAGTGAAGGGCGTTTCGATGAAGAGAGTCTTAACCAACTCCGCCGACAAAAACCACGAGCTCGAAAGAAAATCGACCCGAACAACTCGGTCGATCGTGATCCCGTAAGCCGGGTCCGGCAAATAAAGCCCGGCCTCCTTGGACCGGAACTTTCTATAACTCGGAAAAGTGAAGTCCTTCTGCCGGAAGGGGAGTATTCTCCCGATACTCCCCAGCACGGAATTCTCGTACTTCTCCGTCCCCGCCACGTGTGCCAGCGTCTGCAGCATCTTCGTCCCCGGAATCATGTCGTCGTCGAGTATGTAAACCAGATCCGCCTCCGTCTGCAACGCCACCTGGAATCTGCCGTAGTACTTGAAATCGTAGGTCGAGCTGATGAAGCTGATCCTCGAATCGTTGTAGCTCTCGACGATTGATTTCAGGTTCCGTTCGTTGGGGCTGCCGAAGGAGAGCACCCAGATGTGGTGAAACGGCAGCGTTTGGTGGAGTAGGGTTTCGATTTGGGCGCATAGGGTTTTGCGCTTGAAATGGTTTAGTATGACCGTGACCTTCGGGGTCGTGGCGGCCACGCGCGAGTCCCACTTTGATTCCATCGCCATCAATTCGGGGAGCGTCTCCGTGCCGAAGGTGTTGCTCTGAAAATCGAGTATTTCTTTGTACAGATCTGTTTTCAGCTTGATCATAACGGCGTCGTTTGATTTCTTCTGCTCGAAATCGATCTTCTCCTGCTCGCACACTAGTGAAGAATTCATCGGGATCAAGGGAATATTCTTCTCGGAATATTCTTCTTGGTAGTGAGTTATAATGTGGGGTGGCATTAGTGTGAACTGCTTCCATTGCTGCGCGAGGCGGGTGCGGAGGTCGATGGAGGGGCTCATGAAGTAGAGGAGGGAGGTGGCGTAGATCGCGAAGGCGAATTGAAGGCATGTTAGTATTGTTACCAGACGAGCGGATGACGTGGCCTTTTGTGCCGGTCGAGGTTTATAGTTGTTATTATTAGTGACTCCTCCCATGTAGTTGCTCAGCATTCCTTCCAGATATTCTCCGCTTCGCAACGATGGGCTTCGTGATAAACGCATCTGCATGCAAAGTTTTTATATGTATTGGATGAAATTATATATAATTGAATAAGAGAAAATATTAATTGCGGCAAAAAGGGATAGATATATCACATGGGGTTTGATCGAATGCTTTTCTTTCTCTGTGATGAACGAGTTTCTTACGACATCATTTGGTACGGCCACACGGCCGCCACCTCATGCGTTTTTCTGGCACATGGTATAATGAAGAAGTCATATTTATTGTACGGTGGAGTGGGATACGTTAACTTGGTGTGTTTTTGCAATCGGTAGCGATTTTCGGGGACATGATTTTGGCGAATGATGCAAGCATGCAAATTAAAAATGGAATAAAAGATGATTTATTACTTAAAACTGCAAAAGTTGAGTACCTTGGAGTAGATTGAAATTTACTGCATGCGTGATGATGGGAGGCCTTTTCTTGTTCAGCAAATTAAGGTGGCAATTTGTTGTGCTATTAATTAACGCGCGCTTTTCGAAATATATGCATGTAGTAAAAAGTTGTGGACGAGCTAGCAGTCCATTATATTGAATGAAGAACTGTGTGTGTGTGTGATGAGTGTGTGCATATGTACCTGTGTGTATATATTAATATATAGTATATATATATACTATACATACATAATGCATATGATGATGACACTTTAGTATGTAAGACAATGGTTGGCGGAGGTTGACTTTTGGCTCGCACCTACGTGTGTGCGTGTGTGTGTGTGTGTGTGTGTGTGTGTGTGTGTGTGAGAGAGAGAGAGAGAGAGAGAGAGAGAGAGAGAGAGAGAGAGAGAGAGAGAGAGAGAGAGAGAGAGAGAGAGAGAGAGAGAGAGAGAGAGAGAGAGAGAGAGAGAGGGAGAGAGAGAGAGAGGGAGATTATTGCATGTATGTACAATGTGGGTGAACATATATAGCAACAGTCTTTGTTAATGTGAAATTAATCTTTCTTTTTGGACAGATTATGGTGACATTCTGCAAGTTTTAGAAAATATTATTGATGTGAAATATTAATTGACTTTTCCTTTCACGATAGACGTGAAGGTCAACGAGCGCGCGTGATGTAAACTCTTTTAGTCTTTACATATGGATCAGAACTCGGAACAATGCACGTTGCACTATAATAATAATGATTAGGTTGTCCCAACGTTTCTATTTTTTTTTTATACATAAAGATATGTTATTAAAGTTTATTAAGTTGCGTTTCTTTCTTTTATATATAAAGATATTTACTTTTCTCCAAACTCACTTTATGCAGTAACGTCGAAGAGATCTCGTTTCCTGAATCCGACCGGATTGATATGCAGTAACAAAGAAATTGATAAATTGTTGGGACTAATTAACATAACCTAGAAATCGATAAATTGTTGGGACTAATTCATCCAAGCAAACTAAGAGGGTGTTTGGCTAAGCTTATTTTAAACGGCTGATAAACTCTTACGTCTGATAAGATGTTTTAAGAGTTGATAAGCTGTTACATCTTATTTTTAGGATTAATTTTTAGAGTGTTTGGATAATGAGTTTGTTTTCTATTTTTATTCATTATAAGATATTAAATAAAAAGGTGGGGTAGAGGTACTTATTTAAAAGATCTTATTTAAAAAAAAAATTTGTTTTCTAAAAATTTACCAAACACTTTGGAAGAGCTTATAAGTTCTAAAACATCTTATAAATTCTCTTTAACATCTTATAAGCTTAGCCAAACACCTTCTAAATTAAATTGGTATTATGAACATTGAATTCATTGAATGTAGTAATTGACAAACAATTTCTTCATGCCTCTAAAATACAAGGGTACTAAACCGCACACGTCAGCAACAAACTTAACCTGTGGCATGAAGAATATCTAGCCATAGATCTTGCCACTTTAACTACAGTTATTACCTAACCCTAGTGGTGGCTTGTTTGGCAAAAAAATATATGAGGGCGTCTGAAATTAAAATCTGATTAAATGATTCCTTGGAAATTAATGCACATAAATGTGTGTGATTATGCCTTTATAGAGTGATTTTACAACGCACACATCGTTTCATTAAAATTTAATATATTTGAAAACCAGTTTTAATTTCGATCATATCCTTATTTTATTTTTTATTTTCTTTATTACAGTATTAAAAATATTTATCTTGACGTCAACTATGTATAATGCAGATTCCTAGTTGATTATTTAAACTTCTGTTTTCCATTCCAAGATTCGTGTAATTTTGAATTCTGATGGTTACGTCAGTTTGAATGACGTTGCAATTAGAAATGTAAATGAATCTCATTTGTTATTTGTATTTTACTAATTAGTGGTCTTTATGGAATTTTCCATCTTCCAAAGATAAAACGACTACATTTGTTCCACAATATTTGTCTATTTTGAGATTTTTTTCTTTTGTTCAATATTATCTGTTACTTTACAATTTCAATGTTGCATTAATTACATAAGGGTATTTTGGTATATTTTCCTAAAATCAAGACGTATTTATTGAGATTCATAATATTTGAGTCAAGGTGAAAACGACACATATTTAAGAACGGAGGGATTGTAATTAAAAATGAGGTGCATTTTAATAACAGCAAGTAGGGATACTACAATAAGGTTAGGCATCACTAATTCAGTAATTAATCATGTAATAAATATTAAAAAGTCTAATAATGCAAGTTGTGATTCTAAAATATATAGTCTTTTTTTGTCCTATCTAATTAATTGTATTAGGTCGTGGGAAAGAGTTTTCTCTTAGATTTGTTTCATCCAATCGTAGTATTATACTATTATTTATTGTTTTATTAATATCATGCCTCAATCTTGACTTGTAACGGATTTTTTTAGTGCCAGTTCCCAAGGAAAATGAGAAAATTCAGTATTTCTTTGAAAATTTATTTGATGTACATCGAATAACTTGCGGGGTCGATCCACAAATATAATGGTATTATGATTTATCTTGTCTTCTAAATATATTTTTATTGGATTGTCGAATGTCCAATAATATAATTGAATTTCATTACATTATTTAAAATTATTTTAGCTAATCTTATCTTGTCAACTAAACGAGGGCCAAGCATATTAGCTATTAGGGAAGGCAAATGCGTGTACCATACACAAATCATACTCATAAGTCATAAGTATTCAAAATTAAGATTCATATATTTCCAGCAGTTGAACTTTTATCGACCTCTTCTTTTTAAGTAGATTGTTCGTACAACTGACCTAAAATTAGGCACATGAATTTAATTGTTCAGTTATAATTTATAACTTAAATTAGCCTCATTAATTTAACTTATATCTTCTATTAATTTAAATGTTACATTTTCATCTTCAATTTTTCAATTTTCTATTAATTTTCGTTAGTAACGAAAACATACTTATTTTCTGAAGATGCCTATCGGTTTGTAAGCTGATTTACAACGAAAGTTCAACTTGAAATATGATTTGGGTGACCAGTAATTCCTAATAAATTCTTTAAACTTCACTCTAATTAATCACACCACCCCAAACTGAAACAACTTAGCAATTATAGAAAAATATATCAAGTTAAGCTAAAGCCAAAAGGTTAATAATCATGTCAGTTTCACCATCATTAGTAGTTACAACATCAAGTCATTAACAAAGTACCGGATAAGTACCCCACCCTACTGTGGGTACTTTTCAAAATTGCATCCTAACAAATACTATTCGTCGTCCGATAAGCAAACAACACGAGATGTCTGGTTATCCTGTACATTACTGATAATTTCCAAGTCAGACAGTTCCAACGTACCAAAAGTAGAACAAATCTCAGGCAAATTCGAACCGCCATTATTATGACACCTGTCAGTCGCTGCCGCCGCCACTGTAGGCACAGGCGGATTAGCTAAGGGCGGCCTTGGCGGCGGTGCTTGTGTTTGTGGGCCAGGTGGCCGAGGAGTGGTCTGTAAACCAGGCTGAGAAGGTTGCATTTGTTGTAGTGGTGAAGATGAATAGGGAATGGAAGCAGCAGGTCTGAAGGGTTGAAGGTGTGGGGCCCGCGAGCGAATTTCACAACCAAGACGGAGGGGATTACGTGTAGGAGTGATGGAACTAATGAGTAGGGGTGGTCTGGAAGAAGACGACGAACTTGAGAGAAGGTCTTGTATGGCTTGTACAAGTGGAGGAGTTGCTGCTGCTGCAACACTTTGACCAGGGGCAATCGAAGGTCTCATAGAAGGTTGCCGTAGTACCTGCTGCTGCACTGTTTGTACAGCTGGAGCTGCAATCTGCTGCTGACTAGGACCGGCGAAAGGTCTCACAGAAGGTGGCCGTGATACCTGCTGCTGCACGGTTTGTACAGCTGGAGCTACGATCTGCTGCTGGTTAGAACCGGGGGAAGGTGGTCTCACAGAAGGTGGCCGTGATACCTGCTGCTGCAAGGTTTGTCCAGCTGGAGCTGTGATCTGCTGTTGGCTAGGACCGGGGGAAGGTCTCGCTGGTGGTGCCATCGATAAATGAGGTAACCGCGGCATGAACAAGGATGAAACACCTGCAATAGAGCCCAAAAAAAATCTCAGGCAAATTATTAACAATTGAGAAGCGCACATTACTAGTAAAATAAAACGGCAGAACCCAAAAAATTGATGCAAGACTAAATCATGTTACGGGTTGAGTTTCTAGAACATTTCCAAGCCGTGTAGAAGAAAATAATAGAAGATGGATAAATGCAAGCAGTAAAACAAATAATCGCAGAATGTAAGACCACAGCTGATACTCTTAACAGTGGAAGTCACCTCACGTTAAACAATGGTCGATGGACACTGGACCATGAACAAGTCGTCAAATGTAAAGCAGAAACGAACAAACAGAAAGCATACACCCACAACATGTCTGAACTGCTTAATAAGTCAACATTCATAACCACACTCAGAATTGGTCTAGAACTGGAAGCATTTTGCAGCTAGCATAGAAAATACATCAGTCAAATGCCGATCAAATTACTAAACAAATAAGCCTGCAGTGATTTTCTTTCTTTTAAATCAACTCACAATGGACTATACATGAAAACCAACGAAACCAGAAGTTATCTATGAGGTACAACTGTGAACATTTCATCGACAATGATATTAAGGAGGGAGATAAACAGTAAATTGAGACCTACCAAGGAAATTCGCGATAATCATATTGAAAGACTAATGTGGATGTAGAGATTCTGGACGGAGAAAAAATTGAATTCAGAAACCAAAAAAAAATTATTTTCCGTACCTTGTTCCATGACTGGGAGCCCAGAAGCCCTGGGATCCCCACCCTTAGATCTGCACTTCAATCTGAAAGCCTCGGCCAATACTTTATTCATATGAACTATGTTCTGATTCGTTTCAAGTTCATTTTTTTTCAATCTAAATTCGGCCTTAGTCTCCTGAAGTTTCACGTCATATTTCTTACGTATTTGAGTAATAATTTCTTCTATCTCCTTCTCACAATCTGAATTTATTTGTGACATCTGTCAAGAGAGAGAGAAAGAGAGATTATTACAAGTTGACACGAAAATGAGAAAGAATACGATCAAGAAGAAATTCGGCACTGACCATATTTTCGTGGTTTTTTTGCAATTGCTCAGTTTCTTTACGTATCCTCTCTAATTCATGTTGTAGTGGGTCGGCTACAAACGATGGAGCTGAATTTCGAAAAATGTGTCGATGAGCAGGAGGGGCAAGAAAGTAATTAGGTCCATGGCCTGCACCTGTTTCGAGTTGCAGACCAGCTTGATTTGGCTGCCCAGCTGTGCCCATCCTTACTTGGGGTATAGCAATATCATTCTGGCAAACATCAGATAATTCTACACTCTGTGTATGAGCAACACCTGTCATAGGTACTATTATATCAAGGCGACCGCTGCTACGTATTTCCACATTTTCCGCACTTCGAGAAATAGATTCTTGAGCCACTCCTGTCACCCTAGGCTCCACAGTTTGAGAGGAGCTTCTTCCTTGATCATGGTCTTCAATGGTTGGAGACTGATTGAGGCTAAGAGATATATCAACTGGGGATTCCACATTGGATGCTACAGGGTTTACAACTTCATCAGTTACTGGTGCTTCAAGATTGGTCGGTATAGGAGTCACAACTTCATCTATTACTGTTGCTTCAGGAATGGAGGGACTGGGAGCAACAGTATCAACAAGTGCTGATCTTGCTACCTCAGAAGTACTCTGATTTTCCACAGCTGGTGCATCTAGGTCTCGTATTTCAGCAGCAGCCAAACTTTGGTCAAGCTTATCTTGTTGTACCTATCAGAAAATAGCAGTTTCATTAACACAATCTCAAGAATATTCAAATGCAAATAATATATCGAGAATTTAAAGTAAATTTGTCAACTCGAGGAAGTTTAACTTCTTCTTGCTGCAGTTTTGTTGACATATTCTCAAAACGAAATATTGTATGGAGAAATCATAAGTGAGAACTGGAGGATGGTCAATCATTTCCAGATGAGCTTCGCAATTAAAGATAATGTACTAGAAGGAAAGAGGGCAAAAGTATATAACTTAGGAAAGGAAAAGAGTACATACTTGCCCTGCAAACAAATCAGAACAATCGGGCATGGCTACAGTTTGCTCTGAATGCACCAGTGTTTGTCCTAGGCTTTGTAATAATTCCCCACTGGCTGTTTCATCAGTTCCATCTTTCTGGCTCACCAAAGCATTAGGCAAAGCATTTCCACTTCCTTGGTCTGACGACTCCTTAGATGCATCACTTAATTCAACAGGGTGGACGTGCCCCACAAATTTATTACGAACAGTTTTGGACACTTCTATTGGACACTCTTCACTCAGCTCAACTGGTTGAATTTCATCAGAAACCTTTTCCACAGGGGCAGGTAAGTCTGCAGAAACAGTTTCCCCTTTATCAGCGGAATTATTTGATATAAGATGTTCAACCATACGCGACGATGAATTTTCCAAGGACACAACTTTTCCTCCATTTTGTGCACAAGCAGTTCCCGAGTTTTCAACAGAAGTTTTGGGGTCTATTGCCTCAGCTGGTGGACTACTGGATGTTATGGAAGGTGCGGCGTCATCCCCAGATTGAGAACCAAGTGACTGGGGCCTATTGACGGTCCCTACTTCACCAGAGCAGACTTTTGCTTTATCCAGCCACAGAGCTGCCTTTTGTCTCTCCTCATTTATGGCAGCTAATTGCTCTGCCTCAAGATCTCTAAACTGCACATCCTTTAAGAGATTGTGCTCTTCCATCTTCTTAGCAAAATTAGAATCCAAAAGCTTGAGTTTGTCCACTCTCACTGAGCCTTGACCATGTATAGACCGAATAAAGGCCGACTCCAGTTTGTGATCTGTCTCCAATTTGACCCTTTTCTCCTCCCAGACTCGGTGGAACTCCTGAATTTCCTGTTGATGTTTCCTTTCAAGTTTCTTCGTCCGCTTGTCACATTTTTTCTGTATTTTCTTTAACTTATTAATTAGTTCGCATGAACCAGTTTTATTATCATTGGATGTCACTTTCTGCTGTAAAAGGACTTGCCCTTCAGCATGCTCTTCATTAGCAGATTTTTCTCTAATCTCATTATTCAAATTTCTCGCATTATGTGACGACGACTGTGAGCTCCATTCATTAACGTTTGGTTCTTTGCTGATATCTTCTTCAGCTATCAAGCAATCACTGCCTGAGTTAATATTGTTCTCTGAACATTGCAAATAATTCCTTTTGAGAGATCGCATCTTTAAATAAACCGTGCTCGCTTGTTCTTCAGTGCATTGATAGTTCAGAAGCTGTTCCGCTAACATGAGTGAATTCTTCTTATCAACTTTTTGTTTTGTGATTGACGCTGCATTCCAATACTGATAGAGTAGAAGTACAATCAAATCTATTAGAGCGTGCATGAGTCAGCAGAGAAGTATTTTTTTAATTTAGAAAGGAAAAGCATATGAAGAGGAATACTATAGGACGGTTATAAAAGAATGGATAGACGCTAAGCACATAGATTAAATACACTGGCTAATACTTGAAAACCCCATTGACTATGTGAATCAACAGATGATAAGGAAAAAAGAGTAAAATGTTGCTGCACATTAATGGTCTACCCTCAACCCACTAGAAATATACACCACGCCAAAGTTAGCCTAGCATTCCAATCCAAGAGGAGCAACATTCGTATAGGTCTTAAATGAGTAACCCCATCAATTTAATTTAATGACTTTGTTCCATGTTTCTATTGGTTTTCTTCGATAAATTGTGGATACTAGTACAATATTTGTTTTGGAGTTTTGGTAGATTGGGAGTTAAGTATGGAATTAACAATATTTGTTTACCCCCGAGAACTTTTCATATAAATGTTAATATTTTTTTTAAAAATAAAATAAGCAATTTCATGCGACATACAGATCTCCTCCACAAAACATGTGGCGTGAACACCATACTTGACACATGAAGCCTTAAGAACTTGTCACTAGCAAAAACAATTTTTTTATCATATATTTAATAGGAAGGGATTTGGGAAGAAAAAAGTAAAGCACTACATGCAAGCTAGAGCTACATTACCAAACTCAGTTTTTTTTTCTATTTCTACATATCTTCTAATAGTCTACTCTGAAAAGAAACTGACCAGAGATATCTGGAACGCCTGCACAATTGATGGTGAGTCACTGTTAAAGTGGTGATTCTTCATAACATAATCCAAAAATCTTCTCGCAACATTAGTAACTTCTTCCTGCATTTTGAGGCCGTGTGGACAGATCAGACAGTAACTAATAAATGGGGTGATCTAACTGAAGTGCAACAAATATGTCGTCATGAGGTTCAATGTTCATCTAGACAATAGCTATTAATACAAACTCAAAGAGGGAACAAAATAAATTATTCCTTCGCTTTAGTAATATAAAAAAGAACTCAGATGCAGCAGCCTTTTTTCCATACAACTTCAGTAAAAGAATTAAAACGATATACTTAAACTTGACTAACACCAGAGAAAGTTCATCATGGCTGATTAAGAAGTAATTAGCCCACTATATGCTACTTTCTCTGAAGAAAGGAAGCAGCGTCATGCAGAAACTCTATCAAAGAGGATACTTACTCAGAAGACTCTTCTAACATTTTCTCACTTCTAATCATATCCAATAAATGTTACTTTTATTCCATAACTATTCTCAAGCTTTAAATTAATTTTTAGAAGGATGTTATCCTCTTCAAGATTAGTCATCCACTCATCCGTATAGCCATTTTATGCCAGTCTAACACTTATTTGGGGTGCAATTCAAACACTTAATTCTATAGAATTGACCAAGAAATTATATAGATGTCAATCTACCATGTTTTTCATTAATTACTCTTGCACACACAACACAATTGCCCCGACACCCACACCCTAAAAAAACACAGAAACATATCTGTTTTGGGGAAGCTAAACCTTTGCCACCAAATTCAGAGCAGACAAAATCTGAACTAGATGTATGGTTGCATTTTTGCTAGCCTGGGATGTGGGTGATATGACGGTATGGATGTACTAGAAAGAAAGCTGGCTGTGTATCTTGCTAAAAGGAGTCTCTATTCACAATGAAGACGATTTCCACCGAAACTTTTAGAATGAAGTATAAAGAACCGGCCAATGAAGTATAAAGAAGGCTAACGGTAGCTTTTTACCGAAACTTTCAGAATTTGGCATAGTCTCATCATCTCCCCTTGCAGAAAATTGTGGAGGCTTTTCTTCTCATCAGATGATACATTTTTTTCCTCTGACACAGCCACAGAAGCCTCATCACCAAAAGATCTCTGGACAGAGATGCTATTTGGTTTATTGTTGGGGGTGCTGTCACTCCGCAAATCTTGAGATTGATTACAGGGTTTGATTGTCGTAGAATGCCCTGCATAACCATAAGACATTTTTAGTAACATTATGTATAGGTCTGAATTACAATATGCTTCTCCTAATTCTCCTAACATTTTTAGTAATTAGCAAACATAAGATTGACTACAGGGTTTGATTTTCAGGATATCTATTACCTCCCTCAGGAACAGCAACTTGAGTCACTTGGTGCACTCCTAATTCTACTTCAACTATGGCAGGATCCGGATTCTTATTCAACATCTTTTTACGTTTCTTTGACACATCATGTTTCTCTGCTTCTAATTTACTTGGAGATCCATCCAAGTAATTAACTCTCTTTCGATTCCGCCGACATGGCCCCTTCAAATGTTTCCACTGCGGATTTTTCCCATCCAATAAGTTCCTCCAAAAAATATGAGGCTCTTCTTCATCTTTCAACTCAAGTTTTGTCTCACCAAGCGTTGAAACATTGGTATTGTAGCTTCCAACACCCAACTTAACTTTCGAAATGATAGAATCTGAGTCGGTATTCTCACTTCCTGAAAGTATGGCCTTAAACTCCTTGACAACTTCATTCAAAAGCAATTGTCCAGATGAAACGTTTAAAGCCATGTTAGACTTGTTATCAGCATGATACTCGTCTAATTTGCTGAATAGATACATGGCACCCCATCGGAGGAGAGTATTACTCGTGGTCCGGCTAAAATTTTGCAAATTATTATCAAGATTTAAGTTTTGCTTTGCAAGAATCAGGGCTCTTTCTTCAACAGTAAATGATGAATATAACCTGAAAACTTTGATATGCTCAACTTTTGAATCAATTGATATCTTTTGCAGTGCTCTCAAATCGTTTGCTGGATTCCAGTCGCTATCAAATATGATAATAACATCCACTGATGAAAGTTTAATTATTGAAGCACAAGCACGAGTTTCTAATAGAAAAACGAACTGTTCAGTTTCCTTCTTGTTAAAACGATTCAGAGCAGCTTGCTTCTTGGAACGGAGAACCCCAGCATCAATACGTTCATAAGTATATTGACCAAATCTTTGACGCAAAAAATCATCTAATATATCTCCAGTTGATGCCCCTCCTGAGCCAATGATCAACTGTAATAAAATAGTTAAAAAACAGTGAATTTACAAAACGATAAAAGTACATTTCATAAACCTATAAAGCAAAATAATAGGCAGGCCCACATGTATAAATAACTGAACGAGATGCTTACACAAGCAGCTCATGCATGTTTACAAAAAGGATTCTCTAGTTCGATATACCTGATAAAGTACAAGTACTCGTAGCCCTCGCATCTTAATCTCAGTCAGAATTGAGTCAAGAAGTTCTAATTTGCCACTTGCTTTTACCCCATAGTCCAAAATCTCGGCTGCAGGACGCTGCTCGGCAATCAAGGATCCTTGTACAGAGGAATCCAAAAGATAAGGGTGATCGCAGCACTGAAAATAAATAACATGTCATCAGAATGCTAATCTGATTAACAGCACAAGCACCAAAACATTAAAAATGCAATCTTCCCAACATAAAAGATGAGATGTAGATGATTTGCTGTGATTTATTTAATCACAAAACTGCAACCGTAAACATCAGCAATCCAATATCAGACAGTAACAAGAGTTAAGTCAAACAGTTTCTAAGTAACATAAACAGTTACTCTTCGTCCTTGACAGAATTATGGGTCAAGGCTATTTTCTCAAATAATGAAAATGTGTGCATATCGTCATATAATTGGTGAAAATGACCGAGCAAACCTTTCGAACAGTAAGAAGAATATCTTGGAGGGCACCAACATGATCATTTTTCGAACAAGAGCGAAGATAAATAGAGTTTGAAAGAAGCGTATCACAATACTCCTCGAGCTGAAAATTTGACATCTGAACCGGAAGCCAATACTCAATGAGCCTGGATACTTGAGAAGTGCTTCCATTTGCAATAAAACGTGACAATCTATCTTTCAATTTGCAAATATTCTCATTTGTATCAGATTTCAAGCCCGCCAGTTTGTCAAAATCACCATCACTTTCAAGCAATGATAGTATTTTCAAGTACTCAGATGTTGACTCCTGAGAAGTTTCAAATGAGATATTAACAGAAGTAAGTATAATAAAGAAAAAGATCAAAGATCCAGATGTGTATCGCACCTTGATTTGACCACTAAGGATAAGTATCCTCAACTCTGTAGAGAGTACCCTAATTTGTTCGAGATCAATTGATATCTCGGACTGTTTGTAACCATCAATTACAATTGCTTCCCATTTTATGCTTCTCAGTCTGTCTAGATCCTGCATGATTGATTTAAAAGATATGACAAAACAGAATATTACAATAAATGGGAACTGAACCATAAAGTGATCGACTATAACTTGTCCCAGCCCCGCCTGGAAAGGACAACATATCTTACTACCAGATTATAATTTTGTTGACACCAAACAGAAACATTAAACTTCTAGTGGTTATGGGCAACATTTAAGGAGAGAGGACATAAATAAAGTAGTAAAGTTTATCAAACTAGAGAATATATTACAACCAACCAGGTGGTAAACACTTCTAAATATAAACAATAAAGATGCCGTGGCAACTGTACCTCCAAAACAGCTTCTGCAGAAGACAGTAGCACTTGGAACATCACACGGCTACCTCCTTCATTAAATTCTGATGCTCTGATCCCCTTCCTGGTGTTTCTGTTTCCACTATATACAACAACATCAACTGATGGCACCAGTCTTGCAAACTCAGCTTCCCATTGAGATACTGAGCTAGAGCCGGTAACAACTAGGAAAGGCCAACCAATCTCACTCATAGATCGAATAAAAAGAATAATAGCCACTGCTTGCTCCTGCACAATTGATAAGATCTATTACAAAGACTTAAATCTACAGTCAGAGTATCAGTTACCCTCAAGCTTTGCAACGATAGTGC